AGCGGTGGCATTAAGGATGTTTCTACCGGGATTTCTCACCAATGAAGCTCAAAGCTGCGTTCCCCCAGTGTCTGCAGGGAGAAGACAAAGACCCCAAAATCGGACCTCACTGCAGACAGGACTGAGCTTCTCACTGGATTGTCCATTGCCCCTGTCCCTTCCTCAGCTCCTTTCTGCTGCACTTTCCACCCAGTTTCATTGCTGTAGGTTTTTAGGGGGAAGGGAGTAGGGCAGGTGTGGACCTGGTGCCCAGGAGCAGCAGGTGGGGCAGTTCCCTGGAAGGGGATCTGCGGGACCCCAGAACCTCAGTCTGGTGTGGGCCTGGCTGGGGAACAAGGCCCACGTTTGCCTGTGTGAACAGCACTGCTCTCCCTGCGAGGGGAAGGCTCAGGGCTCCCTGTTCTGTCTCCCAGCGCTACCTGGACGGGGAGCTGGCCATGTGGAGAGCCGACTTTGTGTCCCGCACCACCATCACCATCTCTGCCTTCGCCGGCGAATACGACATCTGCCCCAAGGATTGCCCCGCTGCCTTCCTGACCTTCCAGCTCTCTGACTGTATCTTCCAGTTCTCAAAAATGAACATCTGCCGCTTATTGTATGTTTTTCGGCCTCCCCTGCATCAGGTGAGCAGCTCCTCCAGGTAGCCAGAGCCATGAGCCCCCTGCAGCAGCACAGCTGCCCTGAATGCCACTTCCCCCCACAGGTCATGGACCGCTTTTATATCGAGGGCTACCAGGACACAATCTCCTTCCTAAAAAGACTCAGTAAGTGACTGGAATTGGGGACAGGTAGGTTGGGTGCTTCCCTTACTTCCTTGGTTTGCTGACACAAGGAAAGAGATGCTACCCCAGAGTGACTGGGGCACAGAAATGCCTGTATTCCTGGCACTGCCAGGATTCCTTGAGTCCTGGCCTCTCCTGAAGCTGCCTCTGGAGCCACACTCCCATTTTCTCTGCCACTCTAGGCACGACAGAGCTTTTTCCCAGGGAACACAGGTCCCACGACCTCCAGATGCAAGTGCAGGCTCAGGTGCCCTGTGTGGTGTTTGATAAGCCCCTGATGCACAGAGCAGCAATGTTTGCTGATGCCTGAGCCCTGGGGTCATCAGTATCCCTGATTTCCACTCAGCCCAGGTCACACCTGCTGCTGCTGCTGCTGCAGACCTGGCAGTTGAGCAACAAGCAGTGAGAGCTGGAATCTCTTCCCACCAGGGGATTTCCAGGTGAATTACTTCGAGGGCTTCACACTTTCCTTGGCCCACGAGGAAACCCTGCACCTGAAGCCACAACTGAGGGGTCTTCACTCCAGAGCCACAGATCATGAGGATGACACCAAAGAGAATCCAGGGATCTGCCAGGCAGAGGATGGAGAAGAATAGGAAGCCCCACACCACCTTCTCCACCCCCAGGAAGGTAAAGAACCCACATTTCCTTTACCCCATCAATTTTCATGTGACACTTGCCCAGGGCTGTCAGTGCCCAAAGAGGCTCTGGGGCAGGTGACAACATCAGAAATGGGAGAAAGTTCCCTCTCAGGTCAGGGGTTACAAGTGAGGCCTCACACTGAAGCCTCACACTGAGCCCTCACCTTTGATTTGGGTCAGCACCGAGGACTTCCTTGGTGAGTCAGAAGGACTCCATGGACAGAGAGCTCTTTCCATGGAGAAGGCCATGGATTCACTCACCCAGTGAGGCAAGAACAGGTTCTGCCCACACATCCCTTCTTTAGGGGTGTCTCAAGGGTTCAAGCTGTTTTGCTGCACCAGCCAATCACAAACTTCTCCTTAGGAACTCTGAGTGCAGCCACAGAAATACTAATACTATGCAAGGAAAGTATACTAGTATAGCAGGTAAACTTGTTGCTGTATAATTTTCACGCAACAAAAGCAGATTTAAATTCAAAACTTGCCATTTTCTGCATTCATATTCAAAATAATGCCCAGTCACTTTTTAGATTTAAATGGAAAATGACTGAATCCTCAACATTTCAGTTTGCTATTAGTTGCTAGTAAAAAAATACAAAGAAGCATCTGATTAAATGTAATATTTATTTCTATTTTACTCTTTCTCTTTCCTTATGAGCCTTCCAACATTTCACAATTTACGGCAAATTACTCAGCTTTTTCAACATGATGATTATTTAAAAGGTAGCCACATAAATTAAATGAAAAGTGAAAAAAGACACAATCTCCTGTATCTAGGAGGCCCACAACAAATGAGGAATGTAAAGGGGAAAGACTAGGACCATTACCATTGCAGATCTAATGAGAAAAGTTTGGAAAACATAAAATGGAAG